AGGGAAAAAAAAAAAAACTGAGGAACACCCTGGTAACCTTCATCTGGACGGTATACACGTGCATGCAAGTACTTTGAGCAATTTGCATAACATGCACACGTGCATAAAAACCAAGAAACAGCTTCGACATGTGCATACCGTCAAGATGAATGGTTATCAAGGTGTTTCTCAGTTTTTCATTTTTTTGGGGGTTTTCCCCTGAACCTCCCCTCCCCCCTCTCTCTCTCTCTATATATATATATATACATGCCAAATACTCACGCACACTTCTTACCTTTGGTGAGGTTAGAAAGGCCCTTTGGTTTCTTTTTCTTTTTCTATGAATGTGATGTTGAGGTTTGATTCACTAAACAAGGTCGATTGGCATATCTTCCCCAAGTTTTCAATACCATCCACTACAACAAAATCGGTTCTACAGGATGCCGTATTGTGTCTAAGTATCCTACGGACTGCATAATAGGACCAAACAATTGTGCATCCTATATAAACATGTACAATCACTTCATATAACGCTTTTGGACGTCCTAACAAGTTTTTTAGGATAATTTTGAAATAAAGCTATCTTATTAGCTATTTTATATGACATCATCTTATTAGTTATTTTAGGAAAATTTTGAGATAAAGCTATCTTATTAGTTATTTTATATGACATTATTTGAAAAAATGTCTTATAACAACACTATTTCCTATAAAAAGACATGTTCATAGGACAATTCTCAAAAATGTCTTATAAAAAAGCTAATAGCACATTCTATTTCAAAAGTGTTGTAAAAAACTTGTTACGATTCCCAGATACGTTCGAATAGATTATTGTAACACCTTTACACAGGACGTAGAAAATAAGTGTCCATAATGGAAATGGCACATAGTTTTAGACTTGCATAATTATGACACTTTTTAGTTAACCAAATGACGACTTTACACTTAACTAATATATCTATTTTAGCAACTCTTAAATATTAGTGCCTTAATTAAGGGTAGATTTGGAAACTTAGTTATCTATTTTTGAAATAGAACACTTATTTTGGAACAAATAAAAATAAAAATGTGGACATTTATTTTGGGACGGAGTCACGGAGGGAGTATTAGTTATTACTAGTAGTCATGACATAATGGGTAGCAAGAGTGAAGTGAGACATCTTTTTAGTTATAATAGCATACACACACACACACACACACATACACACATATATATAGAGGACTGGAAAAGATTCTATGTGTGTTAAATGGAAGGAGTACATAACTTTATCAACTTTCTTTTGCTTCTCCACAGGTATACTGATAGCTTAAAAGATGTCGACCCTGATCAGGTATTCTACATACATCAATATAAATTGAAACAAACGAAAAATATCATTTTTAGCACTGATGAATGTTCATATCCATCGAGCAGGCAGAAGAAATGTTTGATGCTGCTTCAAGATATTTATTATTTCCTCTCAAACGTGCTGTAGCTGATGCTCTGTTGCCTCATTTAGAAATGGTTCCTCCTGCAGAATTGTGCCACTGGTTAATATTATCAGACATGTAGGTTACCTTGTGCTTCGTTATCTTGGTACTACATATTTTCTGTTGATTCTTGGTGGGGTGTAGTGTCCAGTTGGGTGGCGGTGGACATGGTTGGGGTGGTGGAATTGGATGGGTGGGGTGGGTGAGGG